CTCTTAACTAAGCTGAGGTTCCTCCTGTTCACCTTGCTCAGCTCAGTCTTGCATAACTGCTTTTACCTCATGGATCTTATTTCACGGCTCTAGCCCAACACTGATGAGCCTCCAGCCAAATTGACTCTTTTCTGTTTTCCCCAGCATCTCACAGCTGCATTTGACATTGTCCCTCAGTCTCTGGTTAAAATCCTTTTCAGTCTAGGCTTCTGGGGCAACCTTGTTGTTTTCTTACTCCACTTGATATTTTGTCATATTGTAGGGTGTAAGCACCATAAAGCTATCTTTCCCAAACCGCTCATTTTTACAGGCAGGGAGGCTCTTTGCTGCATTATGTACTTGTTATTTACTTGCTTCTCTCCCCATTTACCTTATGAGGTCCCACAGCCTTGGTCCTAGACATATTCCACTTTCCTCACTGGAATAAACTGACATTTTTGTGAAATGCTTTGATAAAGGGTACATAACAAATCTCCATATCTATCATGCACCTTTGTTTTCTCTTTTATTTCCTAATAAATCCATTTTGTTAGCCCCTAACCAGTTGCAACAGTCTGACACTGGACTTATTATTGCCTCCTTATTCTTTTAAATCATTTCGTTCTGATTTCCCTTTGCATTTCTGACTTGAGAATTTGGAACCATCTTAAGGACTTGCTTCTTCCATTGTCCAGTATATTCAGTCCATTCCCACCTGTCTGTTAACTGTTTTTTTGTGATGTTGTGTAGATCTGCTTCTTCCATCTCCTCAAGTGCCATAAAATTACAATCTCCCTCCCTTTTTTTTTTTTTTTTTTAAGATTTTACTTATTTATTTTGACAGAGCATACATACCCACAAGCGGGGGGAGGAGCGGCAGGGAGAGAGAGAGGGAAAAGCAGACTCCCCATGGAGAAAGGAGCCCGACTCAGGGCTCCATCCCAGGATTCCAGGATCATGACCTGAGCCAAAGGCAGATGCTTAACCAACTGAGCCACCCAGGCAACCAATAATTTTTACTACTTTTTGTCTAGGCTGCCACAGGGGACCTCTGAGTGTTCTCTCTCTTTTTGGTCTCACCCCCTCCTCAGCTGTCACCTATAATTATTGTTGCCAAAATGGCACTCTCCTGCTCCAGACTGTTGATTCCTTATGGCCCCCTCTGTCTGTCTTCATTATTCTGGCCTTTTTGGTTCTTTACCAGTTACACTTTCCCTCATTTTTACTAATCTCTTTTCTCAGCCCCAAGATAAACTTGTCATTTCAGCCAAATAAATTCATTTGGCATCTACAAGTTGCCTTTCTCTGCCTTCTGCCTACCCCCTCCCAGCCCTTCTGCCACAGTCAACCTGCTTATTCTTACCTTGCTGATATCTCCTGGACTATTTTCCAGTATGGAGTGCTCTCACATTTCCTACTGGACCATCTTTTTTTCATGCATTCATTTATTCAGCAAATGTTTTTTACTACTTGCTGTGTACCAGGCATTTTGCTAGGAATTAAGAGACACAAAATCCTTGCCTTCACGGAGCTCCAGAGTCCTGTGGGGGACACAGACAAGTAAATAGGCCATTATGATTCAGTGTGATTAGTGCTAGTATAGAAAGTTTTAGAGGCCATGGGAGCATATGCAGAAGGGGCATCTTGCTGTGAGAAGAAAAGGGTGTCATACAGTCATTCCAAAGGTTGTCTTAAATTGAGTCTTAAGTTCCTTAGCCAAAGAAAGAAAGAAAACTAGAAGCAAAGCTTCATCTGTGAGAAAGCCATGTATTAAGTGGCCCCACCTGGCCTGGTGTGGCCCTCTACTCTGCATTCCTCTTGGGACTTAGAGAATCAGTTCAAACTCTGAAAATTCATGTTATATTTTCTATAGCTTTTTGAATAATTACTTTTTTTCTTTTAAACATTCATTTTAGAGAGAGTGGGGGTGGAAGGGGCAGAGGGAGGAGGAGGGAGAAACATAAGCAGACTACATGCTAGCGTGGATTCCACAGCCCTGATGTAGGACCTGAGCCAAAGCCAAGAGTCAGACGCTCAACCAACAATGCCACCCAGGTGCCCAAAAAAATCCTTTTTTGATGATATGTATATGTTTTCTCTTCAGCTAGATTGTAAGCTTCTTCCTAGGGCCTAGAGACTGAGTCTCCTTTTTTCATAATCTGTGCAAAATGTCCAGTGGAAATTAACCAGCAGAGAACTAACATAATGACCATAGTAACCTTGGGCCTAGGATTTTTAAAAATTTTATTCCACAAGTTTGATTGTGACTCTCAACTTTGTAAGGTATTTTTATTTGATTCTTGGACACAGTGGAATTTTCTGTTTGTGTGTGTTTGAACAAAATGTTCCCACTTGAAGTACTCAGTAAGTTGCTATTTACACCAATAAAATATATACATTTGCCCTTTGGTAGTGAAATGGAGATGTTGGAGGTGTCGGCTTGGTTCTGAGAGTGTCACTAAAAGGCTTTTAGAACTGATTCTTTACAATAGCCTTGGGAATCAACAAGAGGTGTCTCCAAGTACAGGGCTAAAAAACAAATATCTCGTCTGACCTGATCATGATGTATTTCTTTTAACTTCCAACTCCATGGTATTCATATTGTAGTCCTGCTTTTGTTTATGGGCATTTAATTTTCAAAGGAAAGCAACCTCTGTCTAAGGTTCAGAGATAATGTTGTTTTCAGGGCTACATTTGCTCTCCGTTATGTTTTCATTCCAGTTGGTAGTTCTTAACCTTTTGGGGATCACGGCCCCATGTGACAATCCAATCAAATCTATGGGAAAGTGTACATTGGCACTCACAGAATTGTATATACTATTTCAGGGGCTTCCTAGACCCTCTGAATTTCTGCATCTGCCCTGTGAGTCATTGTCAGCTTATTCTAACAAGGTTCTTACAAAATTGTCATTTTAAGCCAAATATGCAAAGTTTGATCTCTTTTGTCACCATTCCAGGTTCCTTCTGTTTGACGCATACAGACAGTGAACACTTGCAGACTCATAGCATATCTGCTACTATAAACCTATGTACTTTACTTCTTCCTTCTCTGGAAACAATGAATGCATATGTATTTTTTAGATAAGTACAAATAGATCAGTTCTGCCCAAGCAGAAGAAAAGCTCTTGTATACATTAGTGTAATACATCTGTGCAAATAGGAATTAGAATCTATTCAATATAGCTGGTCACAACCATAATTTTTGGCATCCATGTTAGGGAAGTGTTTCTCGGGCAGCACGGGTGGCTCAGTGGTTTAGCGCCGCCTTTAGCCCAGGGTGTGATCCTGGAGACCCGGGATCGAGTCCCACGTTGGGCTCCATGCATGGAGCCTGCTTCTCCCTCTGCCTGTGTCTCTCTGTCTCTCTCTGTGTCTCTCATGAATAAATAAATGAAATCTTTTTTTAAAAAGAAGTGTTTCTCAGGTTATAAGGCAGCTTACATAACTGCAGTCATGTTACTTAAAAATAACAAAGCCCTTATATCCATGTTTATATAAAAATGCTAAAAGAATATACATCAAAAGGCACGTATACTCAGATAACATTGCAGGTGATGGGTCTTTGTAGTGCTACTCTTTGGACTTTTCTTTATTGGAAAACCTGGCTAGAACAGAGAAAGGGAGGAGGCTTCTTACTGAACTGGGTTTCTGGCTTTTTTCTTCTATGTTCCGGTAAGTATGTGAAATTATACTGAGGAAAAGATGTGTTACAGAATAGCTCCAGCATCCCAATCCATGGGCCTTCATTTTTATTTTCAGTCTGAATCTCAATTTGTTTGGAAAAGGTAGTTAGTATTTTTTTTTAAGTGCTCTGAAAACAGTCAAAATTAAATTCAAATCGTGCCAGGTAAAAATAAAAATACAACATCCTAAGGATCACATAATAGTGCACTGCAGGACTTTACAGTTTACAAGAAGATTATATTAGCTCCTGAGACTCTCAAATTAGTGAAGCAGGATGTGTCACCAAATATGCCCATGCTATAAGAAACCCAGCCCAGAGCCTGAGCTGAGGTCTCATGACTAGTAAGGGAATGGGAGGGAGGCGTTATATATATATATACCAATTCCTTTTTTTTTTTTTTTTTTTTAATTCATGAGAGAGACAGAGAGAGAGATCGGCAGAGGCACAGGCAGAGGGAGAAGCAGCCTCCATGCAGGGAGCCCAACATGGGACTCGATCCCGGGTCTCCAGGATCAGGCCCTGGGCTGAAGGCAGGCACTAAACTGCTGAGCCACCCAGGGATCCCTATATATACTGATTCCTAATTCAGCATTTTTCCTGGCTCCTCTGCCACTGAGACTTGGGAAAATCACCTTGGCTCTTTGAGTCCCGGCTTGCGTTTTCATAATGTAAACTTATTTTGTATATTTATTTCAAGTTTTTACATTTGTTTTCATTTTGCAGAGTTGTCAAGAATCAGATTATATAGTGCAGGGATTCTCAAAGCATGCTCCCTAGACCAGCAGAAGCATCTCTTGGGAGCTTGTTAGAAATGCAAATTCTTAGGCCCACTTCAAACTTGTGGCCCACCTCAAAACTGTGGGTTTGGCACCCAGCAATCCATGTTTTAGTAAACCCTCCAGGTGATCCTAATATGCACGCAAGTTGGAGACCCACCGATGGTATGTGTGAGTTAGCATTTTGAAAAGAGCAAAGTGTTCTAGAAATTGGATAGGAAAAAAAAAAAAAGAAATTGGATAGGAAGCTTTTTTTTCATCAATATAAAATTTATGTAGAGTGAAACCCAAAGATCTTAAACATACAGTTCTATGAATTTTCACATTATGTGATCATCACACCAGTCGAGGCAGGGAACTCTTTTATCATTCCATAGAGTTCCCTTGTGCCTCCCTCATCCCCACTGGGCAACTACTGTCCACAGACAGACTTCATTGTAAGAGGATAGGACGCTGAGTCAGACAAAGAAAGAGCAATGACTATATTCTTTTTTCCCTTTACTACTTCTACTTACCATTTCTTTTTAAATTACTGAGCAGAGTTCTCTCTGGTTTTTCAGCCCATGGATCAAGCTTCTCTGAAAAACAGCGACGTTCTCATTCTGACAGGCCTGACCCAGATCCCCACCGCGAACCCAGACGGCATGGTGGGAGAGTTCTGCAGCAATCTGGGTACGTAGGCAGCTCGGCCATGAATGGGAGATCTGCTAGGTTTACTTTGGAGACCTTCCTTCTGTTGTAGTTTGTGTTCCTTCCCTTCATAGTCATACCCTCCAGTGCCCTCGTGCAAGGCTTTCCCCCTGCCAGCTCCACCCTTCATGCCTGTCCTTCAAAGCTTGCTGTTGTCAGCAAAAGAAGCAGTTCTTAAGCAACATAAATCTGAAGAATGTCAGAATGGTTGTCATAAGGGTCAATTCAAGTGGTTAGCACTTTATGCAACCAATATTCAACATTCTCCCCTTTATGTTGAAAATCCTTATTTATTCTTGCTTCGTGGTGGGATTTGGGGGCAGGATGGGGGTGCATACAAGGTAGCACTTGTCAAAAAAGGGAAGAATCACATCTTTGCTTTGCATTTACAACAGTGATACACTGAACAGATCATTTCCCCCCCCCCAATATTTGGTGTGTGTTTTTTCTTTAGGAGAAGACTAAATTTTAAATTTGGAGGAGAGACTTGCTGGGGTTTTGCTACCTAGAAGAAATATATATTTCTTTAGATAAAATTGTCTGTAAAATCTAGAAATCCTGCCATTCTATACTTTTAGAAAAGTATAGATTGCTCACTTTCTTAGCTTGAGCTGCTATAATGAAATACCATAGACTGGGTGGCTTGAACACCATTTCTTTCTCATAGTTCTGGAGGCTGGGAAGTCTGAGATCAGGTTGCCAGCATGGTCAGGTTCTGGTGAGGGCCCTCCTCCTGGCTTGTAGATGCCTACAAGTGTGTCCTCACTTGGCAGAGAGAAGCAGCTCTCATATCTCTTCCTGTTCTTATAAGGACACTAATCCCATCATGGAGGCTGTACCGTCATGGCATCATCTAAAACCAGTTACCTCCCACTCACCCCCCTCCCGCCTTGCCAGTACCATCACATTAGGAGTTAAGGTTTCAATATATGAATTTTATGGGAACACAGACCTTCAGTCTGTGACATGTACCAAAGGGAGTTTAATGAGCTCAGACCTTCCACCCCTAGCAACTGTAAGTGCTGTCACCTCTGCTCTGGGGAAAAGAAATGGTCATCATCTTAATATTTACATGAATGGCAGTATCCTTTGGAAATTCAGTCGCCCATGCCAATAATCATAGTCTTTTTTGTTCTTTGCTGATATTAAGCCAAACACAATTTATTCTTCCTTGAAAAAATTAATTGGACTTGTCTCAAATAGCATCTTTGATTTTTATTTTCATTTATTTATAATCTAGAATCATAGACTCAAAGAGCTTTAGATCTTAAAAAAATAAATTTAAAAAAAATAAGAGCTTTAGATCTGAAAGGAACCTTACATCTAATCTACTACTATTTCTCGGAGTCCACTAACCACTTGCCTCAAGATCAGTGAGATCGCTTATTAAAGATGCAGTTTGGAAGCCCTGCCACAGACCTAGTAAGTCAGATTCTCTGGGGAGAAGAAAGACCCAGCAGAAAAACTGCATTTTCAACACATTCCCTGGCGATTTTCACACATACTAAAGCTTGAAGACCACTGGTCTAGTTCACTCCTCCCATAACCAGTCAGGAAACAGGCCCAGCCAGGTATCAGCGGCTTATGTGAGATCCGATAGCTTGTGACAAAGGCAGGAATAGAGCCAGGTCTCTGGAGCCCTGACCAGTGTCTCTCTGCATGGTACCATACCCTACAAATGGCAAGTCAGCCAGTGCTCAGGGTGAAGCATCTGCAAGAACCTGTGCGTCAGACTTGGGAACGAGGAGGATCCAAGATATTGGAGGCTTCAAGATCTCTGCCCAAAAGCTGTGTGTTTCAATTTAAGTATTTAAAGTCTGGAGGATTTTCTTACAGATAACACATTAATGAAAGAAAATGTCACTCAAATGAATCAAATGGAAAAACTTGACCTATTTCCTTATAGGTCATTCAGCAGTGGTCAGAAACTGGACAGAAACAAATCCAGCAAAGTTTTGGGCAGGCGCTAAAAAGAGAAGGAGCTTGGAGGGTCTGTCCTGAAGCTCAACTGCCATTGGTAACCTTTAAAACCCAAACCCGTCACTGCACGCCCTGTTCCCAGGGACTGAGACATCAAGTAAAAACCCAGCTGATGGTTAAATCAGCTGGAATCCCCCACTCCCATGCTATTCGTTAAAAGAAGCAGTTCATTATCCATGGAAAATAAATTGTATAAACAGAAGTAGGAAAATGAAAGAAATCCAACTATTATTTTGAAAGTTTCGTTCTACCTTTATAAAACTATTCTTTTGATGCCACTGTTTTCTCTCTGGCTTCAACTTTTCTAGCACTGACAGTCCGGAATGGAGGAAACGTGCTGGTGCCCTGTTACCCTTCTGGTGTGATCTATGACCTCCTTGAATGTCTGTATCAGTATATTGATTCAGCCGGCCTCTCCAACATCCCTTTCTACTTCATCTCCCCTGTGGCCAACAGTTCACTTGAGTTTTCCCAGATTTTTGCTGAGTGGTATGTCTGTGTTCTTCTCCATGATTCAGTACATTCAAGCAATAAGATTGAAAATGTAAAAAAAAAAATTTAATTGAAAAAAGAACAGAAATAGGATTTTATTCTCACATTATTGTGAGACTTTCATTCTATTGTCTTTCTGTTTCTGTGATGTGAAAATTGTATTAATGAAAGCCAAATCTGTTATGTTGCTACGGTTCTGAAGAATAGTTAGCAAGGAGAGAAGGATGAAAGGCAAAGATTTAACTTAGCACTTTCAGAATCAGTGACAAAAATATTATGCATCTATCTTCTCACATGCTACCCTCTGCTCTTACAATGTGAGGTGACATTCTAGAAGCTCAAAAAAAGCCCAAGCTCATGTTGTCTGGAATTTATAACACTAAATCTGACAAGAAAAGCTAGATTTTTTTTTCATTTCAATAGCATGATATTTGACAAAATTAAGTTTTATTACAGTAGGAAATTGTTTGATCCAGTCCTAAGGTGGGTAAATTAATGTACAGTATGAAATCAGTGAGCCTTTTTAGAATCCTTGAGCTGCATGTCTGAGTCTAACTGACCTGGCCAAAAAAAAAAGGGGGGGCGGGAGGAGGAATGGGGGAAATATATTAACTTTTACAGTCGACCCAGCAGTGCCTTAGAGTGGTGTTTCTAGAACTGGAGTGGGACACACATACTACAGGGTGTGTTTAATCCATTTTAGTTGTGTGAGAGCCTAATGGATACAGTATTCTACTAAGTGTCTTGTACATCATTCTGTCAATTACATGTTCTACATACTGCCTTTCTCCTCCACCTTTTTCCTCCCCATTTAGTTGTAGTCAAGGACCTTTTTTCTTTATCTCAATTCAGACAAGCTTTTCAATCCCACCTGCATGTTATTCATGTTTGTCCGTAGGGCTGTCACTTTTATTGGTACCTCCTGAACTTTATCCTTTGCATTAGGTCTTTTCTCCCCCAACATAGAAAGTTAATTTTGAATAATTAGTATCCTACCCTAAGTATCACTTGCACAGTTAATCAGCATGTTCTGAATTTCCTCATCCAGGTCCTTAGTAAAAAAAAAAACTCCAGGACCAGCCCTGCGAGGCCCAGGGGCTAGTATGTTCCTCAAGGATACCCTTCTGTCGCGCATGCTATTCTTGTCAGAATATCTGATAGGATAGAAGTCAGGACCACGAAAATTAGTGTAGGTCATTTTTGTATTTCCAGGTCTCTTTATTTGTTCATTTCATATATATATATATATATATATATATATATATATATATATATATATATATATATATATATATTTATATACATATACACACACACACACACGTGTGTGTATATATATAAACACATTTACTATAGAAAACAATACAAGTTACAGAAAACAGGAAAAAACAACCCATAAACCCACTCTCCAAAAGTAGTATCACTGTTGTTCTGATGGATTTTTTTTCTTTCTATATGAGGGGGATCATGCTGATTATTTAATTTTGGATCCTGCTTTTAAAAATTTTAACATGAGATTAGAGCATTATAAAATCTTCGAGAACATAGTTTTTACATGACTTCATTACTATATCATTTGTACCTCATTTATATATTGTATAATTTACTTAACTATTGTCCTATTGTTGGACAGACCAGCTTTGCCCAGTTTTTTCCGTTTAGTAATAAATGTTCAATTAATTTCATTTTATGTATATGTGACTGCATCTTCTGCCAATTACTAAACATGGAATTACTGGAACAAAAACTATAAATATGTTCTAATGTTCATTAAACAGAACAAAATGAACATTAGCATATTATTATTAGCTGAACTCCAGTCTTTATGCAGAACATACCAGTTTTTCCACTAATATTTTCTGCCCCAGGATCTAGGCCAGGATACCCCAGTGCATTTAGGTTTTTGTTTTTGTAGGTCCTGAACTACTACCACCTCAAAAGTAGTATCTGTTAGACCTGTTGGAAGTACTTTAATACTATTTTAGTAAATTCTCACAAGTGGGCGCTAACAAACATACATCATTACATATATTTTTTTCTAACTTTTAAAAATGCCAAACCTACAGAACACCCATAACTCTTGAGTTATCAGTTTTAACTTTTGCCACAATTGCTTTATTCAGTCATTTCCATATTTTAAATGTCAGATCTGGCAAAGAAAGAGCATAGACTACCTAAAACATTCACAGCGTCTCCAGATTGAGATATGTCATTACTCTCCAGTTTGAGTTACCAGTGCTGCTTAGTGAGTATGCAAAACAGAAAGTTGTGTGTCTGAGAAAAAGCCTTTCACTTTTTCCTCAAAAGCAGTCATAACGAATGGAATGTGGTACTTTGAATTGGACCCTGGAACAGAAAAAGGACATTAGTGGAAAACTGGCAAAATCCAAACAAAAGTGGAATTTAGTTAGTGGTAATGCACTAATAGTAATTTCTTCATTCAGCAAACGTATCATGGTAATGTAAGAGGCTAACATTATTGGAACACTAGGCAAAGGGCACAAGGGAAATCTGTACTGTCTTTGCAACTTTTCTGTGTAAATCTAAAATTATTCCAAAACAAGCTTATTTTTTATGGCAAAAATATATTAAGGAATTTTAGCAGTTAAAAAATTCACACAAGACATTTATGTTCTGAGTACTCTGTGGACTCTGGCTTTTAATCACAGTGAGATTCGCTGGCAGGAAAATTTTAAAATAACCTTTAGTATTCAGTGTTTGCGCTGCTACCACTAGGTGGCAACAAATGACCCTGTGTGCCCGACCTAACATACTGATCTGGTTTTCCTCTTCAAAAGGCTTTGTCACAACAAACAGACTAAGGTGTATCTTCCAGAACCACCTTTTCCTCATGCAGAGGTAAGAAAATGGCATTATTGGGTCAAAGCAAGAAAAAATACAGGTAATTGGTTCAAGATGGAGATAGCAGGTCATTAGATTTTAAAAACCCTGGGGCACATGGGTGCTCAGTTGGTTAAGTGTCCGACTCTTGATTTCTGCTCAGGTCACAATCTCATGGTCGTGGGACCCTGCTTCAGTTTTCCATGCTAGGTGTGGAGCCTGCTTAAGATTTTCCCTTTCCCCTGATCCTCATCTCTCTCTCTCTCTCTCGCTCTCTAAAAATAAAAAAATAAAAAAAAAATCCTTACATAGGCTCATATAGCCCTTTGTTTCCAATGTGAGACAACAGGGAAGTACTCTAACTCAAGATTCACCACTTCCCCTTCTCATTACCACGTTATAGTACCAGTGTGTGTCTGCAGTCCATAGCCTACCTCTGTTGTGTTGACCGGGTGGGGAATTTTATCTAATACCTGCTACTAACTTTTTAGCAACAGATTTATTTATTGTCAAAGTCTTCTTTCCAGTTAGTTATATTGATCACAGATGTGAAGTTTTAATGATGATAATAATAACATTTAAGTTTTTAGAAAATAAAAGGTCAAAAGGAATGAACTTCCACTTATAAAATAAATAAGCCATAAGATGTACTGTACAGCACAGTGACTGGAGTTAACAGTACTGTGTTGCATGTTTAAAAGTTGCTAAGAGAGCAGATATTAAAAGTTCTCGTCACAAGAAAAAACTTTGTAACTCTGTATGGTGATGGATATTAACTATAAGGCTTGCTGTGGTGATTTTTTTCACAGTAGATAAAATTCTGTACACCCGAAACCAATACATTATATGTCACTTATACCTTGGGTTTTTTTTAAATGGAAAGATTATACCTTTCTCACAGAATGGATGACTGTTTTTATATCAGTTTGTGCCCAGTTTTGTTTTCATTGTTTTTCACCAAATAGTATTATGATGGACATTTTTCTGTGCTTCCTATCATTATTATCATTATTATTGCTGCCTAGAGTTCCATAGCATATCATATGGACAGATTATAATATACTTAACTATTCTCTTACTATCCGACAAAAGAGTTACTCCTACCTTTTTGTGATATTTTTAAAAAGGATGTTTAAATTGGTATAACCACTTTAGGAAATTAGCAGTAACTACTAAAGCTGAACATATAAAACATACTTTGTGCCTCCTCAGTTTTGTTCTTGAAGTGTATACCAAACAGAAATACATAGTTGTGCCATCAAAAGACACCCAGAAATCTTCAGAGCACTCTTAATAGTAGTTCAGAAATACCCTGGGTGGCTCAGCAGTTTAGTGCCTGCCTTCGGCCCAGGGCATGATCCTGGAGTCCCGGGATTGAGTCCCACACTGGGCTCTACCTGTGCCTCTGCCTCTGTGTGTGTGTGTGTGTGTGTGTGTGTGTGTGTGTGTGTGTGTGTGGTATATCTCATGAATAAATAAATAAAATCTTTAAAAAAAAAAGAAAGAAAGAAAGAAATATGGCCAAATGCCCTCAGCAGTCTAGTGGGTTTTGTTGCATATTCACACAATGGAATACCTTATGCCAGTAAGAATGAATGAACTCCAATTACACATAGTCATGTAAACATATTTCACAAACATGAAATAAGTCAGACATAAGAGAGTAGACACGATGTGATTTTCTTTATATACAAGTTCAAAAACACACAAAACCTACCTATGGTATTGGAAGCCAGGACAGTGCTTACCCTGGAGGTAGGGATAGGGCAATAGTACCCAGAAAGGGACAAAGGAGAATTTCTGGGAAAACTGCAACAAATATTCTGCTATTTTAAATTTGACAACTTGTACTACTCTTACTTATTCCTACTCCAAAGGACTTTTATGAACCAGAATTTCATGTGGAAATCTCTGATGAAGTCATTTTTCAGTCCGTACATTGCAGTCAAGGTATTTGCAAGCTCTGTCATTACCACAGTGAAATTCGGGCTAGAAATGCAGTAATGTCAGAAAATGAAGTGTGGCAAAACGTATTTTGTGGTGGACTTCACCACTAAAAGTCTGTTTTTTCTCTTCTCCCCTCCAAATAATTAGCCTTTCTTTGTCCTCTCAGTGTTACTACACATTCTTACCCACATATGTCACAGATGACCTTTGTCCCATTTACAGTTATGAATATGAAAAGGCCATAATTGTGTAATCTGGGTTCCTGAAATGCACATGCCAACGTTAGGGCATGATGGAGTTGACCCTGGGTATTGTGGCCACTACCCATGAGAAAATATAGTTCTGCCCTTAGTACTGATAAAAAACATTACAGAATTCCTACCCTACAGCTTCATTGCCTGTACAGTTTGGATGTTAACGAAGTACAGAGATAATTCCAGATGGTCAAATGTAATAAGTCAGCTGGAAAGGTAGGTCCAATTGGCAAAAAAGAGAGAGAGATGAATTTATCTTCGTTTTTGTGCATTGATCAGAAGAACTTCAGGAACTGTAGGTAATGCCTAAAAAGTGATTTAAGTTATGTGCAAAGACCCAGTGCTATTCTTAGAACTCCATTCATCTCTTTGACAGCAATGGATACAGGAGACTTAGTCTTTTAGACAGCGCTTACCCTTATTTAACTGGAGCAAGTAATGATTTTGGCTAGATCAGTTATAAAAAGAATGTCAGTTTACTTGTATATGACTTGAAAGGAAGGTGAGAGTTTAGCATTTGCTCCAACTTTACACACATATCCCATCCAACCTTGGACACCTGATTATGACCTCTGGGGTAGTGTTGAGGTGTTACGAGGTAAAACAGTCTCTGAATTAAAGATTTAATCTTTAAAGTGAAGAGATTTTGGCTTCCATTTGGGGTTTGTGCCATTCTGGCCACACCTCACTATTGGGGTGACTTTATTTGGAGTTGGGGGTTGACTGGGCTTCCCCTCTTATGCATTATGAGTTGCTTCAGGATTAAGTAGTATCACAGACCATTTCCTTATCCATCAGACAATATCTCAGGGCAGTACTCCCTTTGACTTAGGTGGTATTTAGGGTTTCTGAAGTCTGAGTGTTTGTCATCTGACCTTTCGGTGCTAGAGTGGGAAGGTAGAGGCAGGGTCAGGGCAGCAGGAAGAGCTTCTGAGCCATGTCACAAGACATCATCTGTGGCTGTTACTGTATATGGTGTTGCCTTGGATTGGACATGACTTTGGGCGAGTATTGCCAAGTATTGTGCTGGAAGGGAAGTCTTTTTGGTTCAAAATATACACTTTTAAGACAAGCTCGAGGCTGTACATGACCTACTTCTTACTATAGTTGTGTCGTGAGGATGTCACATCCTAAATTTCTGACAGCCAGTTTGGCCTCTGTCTTTATTAAGTTTCTGCAGTAACTTCTCAAGAGGTAGTCCTATGTGCATAAATAGTTTTTCTTGTGTGAGATGTTTATTCTCGACAGAACTTAGTGTTTCACATGTTATGGGAAAGCTACTCGTACTTCAGATAATTCATATTGGGAGCTTCTGGGGCCAGGGCTTGGAGTGTCTAGAAGATCTAAAGGAAGAGTTAGACTACATCAGGTATTAACAGCCTGAATAAAAGTATCCACTGAATATGTTAATATGTACCAAAAGGTCTCATCTGTTCAGAAAGTCACCTTGTTAGGTAGAAAATCTCAATTTTCAGCAAATGTTAATCAGATTCATTTGTATTTTTAATTTCCTTCTGTTCCCTCTTCCATGCTGTGTGGTTCTTCCTTCTGGCTACACAGACTAACATCTCTTTGTGTGCCTCTCTGTACATATTGTAGCTCATTCAGACCAACAAGCTGAAGCACTACCCCAGCCTCCACGGAGACTTCAGCAGTGATTTCCGCCAGCCATGTGTGGTGTTCACGGGGCACCCCTCCCTCCGGTTTGGGGACGTGGTCCATTTCATGGAGCTCTGGGGGAAATCTAGTCTCAACACTGTCATATTTACAGGTAAATAAACAAAACTTTGCCCTTTCTGCTGGAACCGTCACTCAATGCACTGACCAAGTGGAGACCAAGGGACGAATTTTGCAGTTAGACAGAAATATAAACACTCATCTGTCATAAATACCAAAGGGTGAGGAAACCACAAGGGAAAGAGTAAGAATTAAAAAGCAAGATGGACTGTTAGGAAACTGTACTGGACAAAATTTTCATACCAATTTTCAGAGGTTTTTCCCTGAGACAGACTTCTACTGAACTTTTGAGAAGATTTTTGTATGCTGTTTTAAGAACAGCAATAATTCTAGTAACTACTCTTGTTTTTACCTTTTAGGAATTATTTCCTGAATTTGGCCTTTCTCCTTCAGTTACAGTTTTCTCTGGCTTACAGTTTTCCTTCTGGAGACAAACCCCTCAGAGTAGAACAGATCCTTTAATGAGGTCAAGCAGGGTTTTACTTAAGCACTATATTATTTTATCAATTTCAGGTCTTCCTTGGGACTTGGAAATCTTATGGGCAGTAAAGTAAAAAACCTTGACCCAAATCTGGTCCAGTGGACTGTAACCTAACCTAAGTTACCCGTGTCTCTGAGCCTCACTTTTTTCCTTGTGACATGGGGCTATGCTGGCTCCTTACTTGGGCAGCTCTGTGCATTTAGTGAAATGTTATAAGAAACATTTCATATACTGCCTGGCACATAAAAGCTATTGAGAAAGTTATCAATTAACTTCTTTCTCATTACTTTTAAGACTTGAATGTTGGAAGAGAGTCTAGTAAATCCCCAAAGCTTCAGGATCAGGGACACTGAGGCCCTTCCTTGTGCTCAGCCTAGGCGTGAAGAGTGCCAGAGACCTCCAACACATTACTAGTGAAACAAAGTTGGCTTTATTGACTCATTGCCGCTGGGGAGAACACATACCATGAGGAAGTGGGAAGCATCTCAGCATGTTGAAAAGAACTTATGGATTTGGGCTTGTGTTGGGTGATTTTTGAGGTGGGTTCACAGATGTGGGACATTGCTCTGAATTGGCTGCTGTCAGGAAATAGTAGTTATATATGATGAGTATCTTAATAATTCTTATCTAAAAGACAAAAAGAATGGAGCTAGATAGGGTAATGTTTGCTCATTTTGTGGTTTGAACAGTGTTGTGGTTTTGTGCTCAGGCATGATTACAGACAGGTTCTTGTTTTTGTTTTGATCCATTGTGGTCACCAAGTGGCCATATCTGGTGTTAGTGTTCTGTGAAATTGTTTGTGTCCAAAGGAGAACACCATAGCCTAGCCATGAGTGACAGGCAGGCTCTGGCTAACAGCAAGGCCTAGTAGAAAGTGCCAGGAGAGCTCATAAAAAAAAAAAAAAAAAAAGCAGCCGTCAGGGGCCACTTCTGTCTTTCCCAGCCCCCTTTGGCAAAGAGGAACTCAGGCCACAAGACATTGACTCACGGTACCCAGAACCTCACCATTGCCAAGTTTTGCTAAGCAAGAGGTGATCTGAAGAACATTGTCTAGTAGGCCTAAGGGTGGTGTCTCCTGTTCTTTTTGAGGAGCTGTTGACTCTGATACAACAGTGGGTACAGTATTCACATAGGTACGGTCAGAGTATTTGCTATTGTATAAATCTTCCTTTAGCCAGCTAAGAAGAAGTCAAAGGCTGTGTCATGGTCACTTGTGAAGCCTGGTAGTGTCAGAGATGCGTTTTGGACCACTTTTGCAGATTGCATTACAGCCATGTTAGACTTGAAGCTCACATAGTCCACATTAAAAGGGAGTCAGTCAGTCAAAAAAGTAAGTAAGTAAGTAAGTAAGTAAGTAAATAAATAAATAAATAAATAAATAAATAAATAAATAAATAAATAAAAGGGAGTCAGTCATCTCTCCCAGGTATGTGTGCCTGCCTCATTTAGGGAGGGGTATGCTTCTTAGGGAAACAGGAGCTGCTGGAGGGAGATTAATTTAAAAATCTGAATGTTCCATCAGTTTTCCCAAATGCACTGGATAAGTTAGTGGGACAAGTGAGCGTAAGCCCAAGGGCTATAAGAAGTGGAGACGCAGGCTGTTGGGAATCGAAGTATTAATTTTTCACACCAGAAATGTGTCAGTTCCTCTGGCTCATGGTTGTCGAGTGGATAAACCATCCCTGCCAAGCAGGCTGCAGTGAGTGGTTCTGGGGGGAACGAATGGGCCAGCCCGGCAGGCGTGGTTCCCAGCCGTGCTGTGCCAGGCTTTGCCGCAGGAGTATCTGGTGACGTGGGGCTGGGATCCTTTTCTTTTCCTCTTGGGGCATCCTGTCAGGTAAGTGGTATGTGCTTTGTCTCATACCTGTGCGTTAACTTTGAGCACTTGATTCAAGTGGCCTGTGTCAGGTTTCTCCATTGTGAAGTTCACTGTTTTTATATTTAATCATGATCTTGGCAGGCCCCCGGGGAGACACTTTGAGACTATATATCCTGGTCTTCCCCCAATTTTTATTTTAGCATCATATATGATCCTGGGTCAGAATAAATTATTACTGTGATGGTTGCCAAATGGCGATTTTTTTTTCTATGTTTGGCGTTCTGACATTTAAAAAAAAAAGCTTTTGCTTCTCCCCCATTTACTTAGTTACCCTTCATTTTATTATTTCCTCGCTCTGTGTTGAAAGCCTCAAGCTCACACCCATACCTCCGAATTCCACATCCACCCTGCGCTATTCATTCTGACTCTCCCTTCCCTTATTTGTAAATCACTCCTCTTGAGCGATAGGGAATCTGGCTCCCACCAGCCTCTGGGCACTTACTACTGCCTCACCCTCCCCACCACAGGCCATCTGCTTGGCCTTGACCACACCAGCTGCCTCCTCACTGGGCAGCCACTCTGTTGCCTGCTTTTCAATTTTTGGTGTTTTTTTTTTTTGTTTTTTTTTTTGTTTGTTTTTTTTTTTGTGCTCTCATTAGAACCCGATTTCTCCTACCTGGAAGCACTGGCTCCCTACCAGCCCTTGGCCATGAAATGCATTTACTGCCCCATTGATACACGACTGAATTTCATCCAAGTGTCAAAGCTGCTTAAAGAAGTGCAGGTAAGGAGGGGGACTGCCTGTGTCTCCCCCGTGGCCCTGTCACCCCCATGTGGCATGTGTTGCTGTGAGGCGAGGGCTGGCTGTCTTGCTGCATTTCTTGCCTTCCTCATTTCTCTAGCGTCTGCAGAGTGCTGGCACATGTACTACTTAGTTACCCTTCAAAGTAATGAGCTTTCCACTCTGAAAGCAGTTTCCGTTCTGAAGAAATCAAAAGTGGAGGAGAAGCACGCATAAACAGTCTATTATTTTTGATGAGGACCATCTGTGTCCAGTTAAAAGCAAATTGCCCCCACTCCCACCAAAAAAATTGTTGTAGAAACCTACTCATGGAGCCAAAAGATAGTTTAGCTGAAATCTGTATGGGGCCCTGCTGTGCTTGTGGATTAGGACCACACACAGTGTTACTTTGCTTTGCACTAGAGATTTATTTTGGCTTGGTTTTTGTTGCTTTCATTTGTTTATTCCAGTTGCATTTTCTGCCATGGAGAAAGGGCAGAAGTAGTTGGGTAAAGTGGTAGGTAAAAGGAAGGCCGTGTGCACAAAAGGAAAATTGTAGTGGGGCGGGGGAGGGAGGGGTTTAAAATCTCCGTGCTGGGCTAGCGACCTCACAGCATATATAGGCGGGCTTGGGGAGGGAAAGAGGCCAGAGGGAGAATTCTCCTTCCCTGTTGCCTCCGGAGCTGAGTGAACGCCAGGATGCCCTGGCTTGTTTCCTGTCGCTTGACCTAGTAATTTAGCAAAGTATGGCTAGTCCCTTCACTTTCCTTGGCCTAGGTCAGAAGTGTACTTTCCTCCGTCTTTGACCTCAGGATGGGTGGCACTACCACAGAACTCTCGGACAACAAGGAATGGGAAGCTGAGGAGCCTCAGGAATGCAGAGATGGTAGCTTATAGTGATCATTAGCTTGCTGGCCCTCCAGAAAAGAGGATGGGCTTTCTCTAGACATGATTAGAGCAGTGGCTAAGTTTGGGCTGATTTGGTGATTTTGGTGATTCGATACCCCACCATGTATGCATCAGCACATGGGCAGAAACAGTTAAAAGCCTGTGGTTTTCGTCACTAAGTAACACCTTCCCCCACCGTCCCTACAGCAGCTCTGTTCTCCCAGAGCCTCAGGCAGTACAGGGACGTTGGGAACTGGCGGCCACCTGGTCTTCACTGCAGAAGGGGCAAACCTGGCTGGAGTCCTCAGGCTGTGACTGTGCAGTCGGGTGGCTTTGAGAAGAGTTAGAGCATACCACCCAGGTCAGGAAGATGACACTTGTGAGCCCAACAGAACAAGTGCTATTTTAAATGCATCCGGTTGGCCTGCTGGAAGGCCTCCTTCCAGGAAGAGAAAGCGAGCTCCAGATCTTAAGAGTGAGCAGTGGCAATACAATGACTCAGTGGGCCACCAGGATCAATTTTCGGTTGCGTGGTCTTTGTCCTTAGTAGCCATTGGTTTACTATTCTTGTCTCTCAAAATGACAGACATTTTGTAAAAAAGCTCTCTGAATCAGTCTGTCCTAACATACACAATTGAGTATGTGATCTGAGCAGTGCCCTCTGTCAAATACCAGTGGGCCTGCAGATGCCAGAACAATGCCCAACCCCAGAACACTGGACTAGTGTGAAAGTCAGCAGTTCTTGCCTGTCGGCCAACAGTTGCCCCACCAGTCAGTGACGGCAGGTATGACAAGAAGACTATGCCCTCAAGGGCTTAGGGGTCAGTTGAGAATAGGCCCATGGAAGTCACCATCAGAATGACTTAAAAATACTGAAAAAATAAAAAACAAATGGAAAGAGAGGCAGTGGATCCCCCACTAGCCTATGTGGCTGGCAGTTGAGGGCTTTGCCCTGAAATTTTTCTTCCTTTTCCACACTGCGCTCACCTTTCCTGCTGCCTGTTACTTGGGTTTGAGAGGAGAGATCTGATGGCCCAGAAGAGGCGAGGCGAGCGAGCGTGCCAGGGAACGTGGTGCCAGGGGACGTGGACGGCCTCCCTGCTCACCCCACCCATCTCGTGTGTTCTCAGCCGCTCCACGTGGTCTGCCCCGAGCAGTACACGCAGCCGCCCCCCGCGCAGTCCCACCGGATGGACCTGATGATCGACTGCCAGCCACCTGCCATGTCATACCGGCGGGCCGAGGTCCTTGCCTTGCCCTTCAAGCGTCGCTACGAGAAGATCGAAATCATGCCTGAGGTGAGCCGTTCTCTCTCATGGTCAAACCAGGGCTTTCCACATGGTCTCAGAAAGAGGCCTGTCCCAGAGGTGGCTTTCTTTTGGCTTTGTTTCAAATGTGGATGAGCCGAAGAACGCAGGCCCTTAAGCAAGGAACTGGGAAGAGAGGTGGGATCTTCAGAATCTCTTATTTTCCAGGTAGCGAAGTAACAGCTTCCTAACTCTTCCTTCAGTGGGGGACATTTATTATATCTGCTTTTTCTGTATTATAAATCATGCTTTCAGAAATATTCTTTTACAGAAACCTTTGTCCGTGTACAGAACGTAGAGAGAACTAAAAGCGTCACGGAGTTTTGCGGGGGAGAGGTCTGTGTGAGATGCAAGGGTTAAAAATGTGCCGCCACCCATCAGGTTTTGCTACTACTAAAGGATACTTATATCTCCCCCAAATGAGTGTGTCCTCTGCAGCTTCCTCATAATTCTCCCCCTTTGTCCCTGTAAAGTGCAAGACAGGAGACCTGATGTGCCAGCCCTTGTGCACGTGTTCTGGTAGGAAAACCCTCTCTGTTCAGGGCGGCGAGGGGTGCATCCCCCCTCGCAGAGGCCTCTGAGTGGCATTGTGGTTGTTGTGGGCTCCGGGTAGACTTGCCCTGTGGCACAGCGGCCTCTTAGATTTCGCTCGTGGGGCTGCCCATACTCCCATGGTGCCCTTCCCAGGCCTCCCAGGCAGCCTGCCCTGTGAGGGGAGTAACTGCAGGGTCGGGAGGAAGAGGATGTGTTCGGGCGGGCATTGTTGGGAGCCTGGAGTTTCGTGAAACAGTTCTCCCGTTCCTTTCAAATACCCTAAGCTGCTTCCTCTGCCCTTGGGATATTGATCTTCATATTGATGTAAATGACGTCTTGTGTATTTATTTATTTTTGTTTCTACAAAGGAGACTTGGATACCTCGGAGTCTACGTGTGTAAGAGCAATAGTCAGCAAAGCCGGGTAGCTGGGGCTTCTCGCAGGGTCAGGCATTGCTGCCATTGGCTGCGCCAGGGCTCTAAAGCTGCCTAGGTTCTAGAAGGGGGTACTTGTCGGACTTAGGTAGGGAAAGAGATGGCTCCCCCGGCTAAAGGTTGACTGTTCCACCTTTGGGAGAAGTCAGATTGCCAGGAATTAGTTCACTCAGTCCAAATGTCCCTGTCCTTCCTGCCTGACACTAGTCACCTAGGGGTTTTGAGGAGAGAGGCAGAGGCCGGCATGAAAAGTCAGCACCCAACAGGTGTTTTGAGTAGGGAGAAGCCCTTAGAGGTTTCTGAGAGATCCTGTGGAAGTGTGAGCAGCTGCCTGGAAGTCATCTGAAAGGTGGCTGTGAGGTGCGGCGGTTCAGGGTACGAGGCCATGGCAGGTTGTGGGCGGTTCATCATTTGGGGGTGAACTAACAAAAGGGCGAGGCAGAAGGGTCAGCTGGGCCCCAGCATGCGACGGCACAAGCTTGCTCGAGGTGGCTGCTGAGGGTCGTGGGCCGCCTCCAGGAAGAGCAGCCACACTGGTCTAAGAACGTCAGGCTCAGGCTCATTCTCTCTGCTTCTCTTACCTCCTTTCGTCCGTGTGATGTATTTTTATTAAAGTTATTTTTAGATTTTTTTTTTTACCTTCTTTCGTCCTTAAAATTACGTGGTATTTTAGACTCCAGTGATAGAAACAAAAGTTGAAAAGAAAATAAATGAAGAATGGTGGTCACAGAAGGCTCAGCTCCCTTCCCGCCGGGAACGAGCCAGTGGGTGTGGAAAGCCGGCCTTGGCTGGCACCAGCCATCACCATCTGTGAGCTGAGGAGGCCGAGCCACGGCCCAGCACGGCCTTCTGGTCCCGACTTGGGGTGGTGAGGCTGCAGCACCTCGCCCCCCACATTTAGGTGAGGCCCACTGAAACCCGTTTGCTTCCAGCTCGCAGATGCGCTGGTGCCCATGGAGATTAAGCCTGGCATTTCCTTGGCAACCGTCTCGGCTGTGCTGCACACGAAAGATAACAAGCACGTCCTTCAGGTATGGGGGAGGGTGGGCCGGGCTCACGTCCCTGAGGAGCCGCTGGGGCCTGTGAAGCCCAGGAACCCCCAGACCCCCCACCAGCGGTCCCAGCACTACCGCCAGCACAAGCCAGAGACCAGACTCCTTAATGGATGAGATGTGAAACAGAGAGAACACTGCGTATAAATTCTTCGCTACTTATTCTCTGGCCACATGCCTCAGAGAGATAAAAGGGAAGAGCAGCTATTATTCATGGAGCTGGGGCCGCACCTCACCCTGAGTGCCCTTCCCGCCTCCGAAAGTACTGGTGGTGCTCACAGCTCCCACGGGCACCTTCCTCAGACCCACGGTGCGGAGCACAGCACCAGGCGGCGGGAGCCCCCAGAGTGGTGGGCAGCCCCTCGGCCCCCAGGAGGCCTCCCCTACCCAACATGCCTGTGGGGCGGGCAGCAGCTAGGCACCTGTGAGCCACCCCAGCCCACAGACTGCAGCGCCTTGTCCCGGCACCTCGTGCCCCACCTCCACCCTGTGTTTACCGCCTCGTGGGGCAGCTCCTTGGGTCCTGCTCCTCACCCCTGAGAAGAACTCTTTCTACACTTGGGACTGTGCTGCCATGTAAAATATGCGAGGCGCCATCCTAGGTCCTTGCCATCCTTACTTCTCACCTTCCCACTTCATCCTCACAAAATTCTCACAAAATCACCATCACTTTATAGGCAGTTTCTCTGACCTTCATTTTAACCCATCAGCTTGACCCCACAGCTGGTGGCCTTGGCCACCGTGCTGCTGTCACACCTACAGTTATCAACACAGTTTATTATTAAGAATTTACTCAGAAAATACCAAAATGAATCCCTTAAAAATTAAAAATGAGGCTTGCTAAAATGAAGATTTCTCTGCCAGAAAAGGCACTGATGCTGTGTGGATGCTTTGGCATTAGCTTCTGTTATAAAGAACACCACGTGGAGCCCCCAGCTCCTGGCAACCCTGAACTCCAGGGCCAGCTGACCTCACAGCAGGGATGAGTCTGGACCGGGTGCTGGGGCCTCCTTCAGGGAGGGCAGCAGTCCCCAGGGAGGGATGGGCAGATGGGCTCTGGCTGTGGCCTGCGCTGACCTCCCCTGTACTCAGGGTGAGGGGCTTGATGAGGTTGTGTTTTCTCTGGCTCTAGCCTCCCCCCAGGCCCACCCAGCCCACGGGTGGTAAGAAGAGAAAGCGGGCAAGCGATGACATCCCAGACTGCAAAGTGCTGAAGCCACTGCTGAGCGGCTCCATCCCTGTAGAACAGTTTGTGCAGACGCTGGAGAAGGTGAGTGCTGCCCAGACTGCACAGGAGCAGGATGTTGCTCCTTTTTCTCCATCTCCACTGTCTGAGCTACTGACCCTGAAGCCTCTGCTTGATCCAGGGTCATGGCAGGAACAGAACCAGGGGAGGGTCCCAGAGAGTTGAGAGAAGACCATGCCCCCTCCTCTTCCCTGTAGGTCCCCCATTTCTTTGCCAGCCCCTTCCTTCCCGTGAGACCCCAGGCCCCTAGAAGACTGCCTCACCACACCCCATTTCTTATGGGAACGAGACCAAGGAAGGCCCTTCAGAAACCTAGGCGCAACAGATGGGCAGGGGGGAAAGGCCAGATAAAGAAAACTTAATAAGTCTGCCCCTTGGAGCCTCACTTTTCAAGAAGATCCTTGCTGTCAGAGCGCCAGCCTGGCTGTGTCACAGGAGACGGGAGGCGCAGGACTGGGGGGCAGTGAGGACAGAGGTGCTACTGGATCCCTGGGAGTTGGGAGAAGCAGACAGGAGGCAAGAGGGAGAGGCAGTAGGCGGTCCTCTGGTGTCAGCCTCCGGCCATTAGTCGTTTAATCTTCCCTGAAGGAGAGACCATAGCCAAGTTGTGCGGCTCTCCTGGCCTGAGTGTGGGAATGCTGTATGGGAGTTAGCACTGATGCTGTGAACGTGGCAGGGCCGGCTTCCTCGGGACTGAGCAGTGCTCTGGCCCCTATTGGTAGGACTCTGATTGACTTGTTTTTTAAAAGCTCGTAACAACTTGCTTTCCCAGAATCCCCTGCACTTAGTTCTTCTGCTTGGCTCATCTAGAGCAGTTGACCCTTAGGATCTGACCCTGACTCTCTCCACCATTTCTGCCTCATCTCCTCCTGCAAGAGGGATAGCAGTGCCTGCCCCAGCCTGCACATGAGCTTTCTAGGACTAAGGGTTGAGATTCCCTAGCCTATGTCCATTACCTATCTTGTGGCCCTTTCAAGCAAGTCAGTCTTATTTCTATTTTCCTCTCTTTCACCTTTGCGTGATGTGTAAGAAAACTCTGTAACTCACATTAAGGTAGCTAGAGAAGTATTTGCCCTGCTGCCTTGTCTCCTCCCCCTCAAGAAGGATTTGCCAAATCACAAGGTCACTGGTATCTTGCTTTGAGGAATGGTATTTTCCTGGGACAGGATGGAGCTTTTTCTAATCAGGGACCATTGGCAGAGTTCGGAGGCTGCTGGTGGAAAGCCCAGGGTCCTAGACTCCTGAACCAAGCTCTTGGATGTGCTCCTCAAGATAGCTCACAAAAGCTTAAGCGGGTTGTAGAAACTTTGTTGTGTTTTGCATGAGATCTTGGATGTTTGGAGGCTTCTTTTAAAGTATACGAAGCTGTGTTTGAATTCCATTGCTGTAGAAGGTCCTATGACAAGTCTAAAGAATTATATTAGGGAGCATAAAAAAATGACAGTTTTTAGAATGTTCAGTTTAGCCAAGGCTAGGAAGTGTCATTTCTCAGAACCGTCAGTTGCTCCCATGTCCTCCTGCCTTTCAGTTCACCCCTTGCTTCAGAGTATCCATCATCCTCCTTTCTCTTCTCTTTTGGAGCAGCATGGCTTCAGCGATATTAAGGTAGAAGACACAGCGAAGGGCCATATTGTCCTGCTCCAGGAAGCTGAGACACTCATCCAGATTGAGGAAGATTCAACTCATATCATCTGTGACAATGATGAGATGCTCAGGGTACGACTGCGGGACCTCGTTCTCAAATTCCTACAGAAGTTCTAAATGGAACAGCTAAGCCATTTCTACTTCACTGAAATCCTACAGTCCTTCGCTGTGGCTGCCCAGCACAAACTGAGGAAGGGCGTAAAAAGTTGGCCACGTCTTTGTGGTGTTCTCTGGCTTAAGGAATAAAGAAGTGGCCCTTGAGGAACGTGATTATCCACAGATATAGCCAGAATCTCCTGGGCTAGATTTTTAGCACTGTTGTGGGCAAGAACTTATGCTTTAAACTTAAATTCCTTTTCTTCCCAAACCTGCCTCCCTTGGGCGGCCAAGATGGAAAGGCAGCAAGCTGAGGAGTAGCATAAGCAGCAGCTTTCCCAGAAGTGAATGGTGGAAGGAGGGGTGAAATGATGAATGACGTAAGCAGTCTATGTTTGTTTTTTGTGATGTCCTAGGCCTTGGGGAGGGGAACTAGCATTGGATCGTGTTTTATTTACTTGTCTACAGTGCTATACCTAATAAGAAAGATGATCCAAAAAAATTGGTATAACGAACCATCTATTTGTATTTTATACCGTGAGCCCATTTTGTTAATAAAACTTATTTTTTTATAGAAGTATCTGTGCTCTGTTGAACCTCAAATGTACACATTGATTTAGTGTCTGAAAAAGTATGAAACTATACAGAACAGCATAAACTTAGAAAATACCATAATGGGGAACCTGGATGGCTCAGTCAGTTAAGCATCTGACTCTTGATGTCAGCTCAGGTCTTGATCTCAGGGTCATGAGTTCAAGCCCTTTGTTGGGCTCCACACTGGATATGGAATCTACTTTAAAAAAAAAATACCATAGCAAATTTTAGTTTGGTGCGTGCAAGCATATAACCCAACATTATTTAGAAAACTCATATATTTTTCTTAAATTGTATGAAAATATGCTTAACTTAATATGAGCCACATCTGTATAAAAAAACACCCAACATGGGGGCACTTGGGTGGCTCTCTCTGTTGGGCATCCAACTCTTGATTTCAGCACCTATCATGATCTCAGGACCCTGAGATTGAGCTCTTTGTTGGGCTCCAGCTCAGTACAGAGTTAGTTTGTCCCCCTCCGTCCCCCTCTGCCCCTCTCCTGCATTCTCAAATAAATCAATAAATAAAATAAAATAAAGTAAAATAATAAAACAAAAAAAATAAAACAAAATAAAATAAAACAAAACAAAATAAAATAAAATAAAAACACCAAAACAGATTGGTAACAGCAGCCTTAACCTTCTGGGGAAAGGTCCAGAACACACAGCTCAGGGTCTGCTAGTTAATCATTACCCACCACTGCCTTTCCCACAGATGGTCAGGATTCTCTGTGTTAAGCAGAGCATTAAACTTAGAACAGAAACAAGAGTGAAGAAGCCTCCAATGCTGTATGATGATACATTCCTTTAAGCCAGGCAAACTGGTGGACAGGAAAGGGAGACGCTTCTTTCCTCTGGCCCCAAGTCCAGTTTTTCTCCTGCCTCCAGAAACAAAGCTGAATGTTGGCTCATCATTTTATGCCACTGTGGGTAGGTTGGAAACATCTGATGTTCTCAAATTCACTGCAGTGAACCTATGGATAAACAACATTACTCTTTGAACCCAGAATGAGGTTAGAAATAACCAACTACAATTCCAGAGGAAGTGGCAGCTAAAACCTAGACACAGGCAGTGTAGAACTCAGCCGAAAATGTCTAATCTTGCCAGAGGCTAGCTAGAGCCAACATCGATCATGAGACTAAAGATTAAATACCACAGTCTCTACTGCTGCTTAGTAGCGCATTATGGGTTTTAGTCACATCATAAAAACATTATCTTCCCGTCTATAGATTCAATAAAATCTTTAGCAAAATTACAATGACATTTTTCACAGAAATAGGAAAAAACAACCCTAAAATTTGTGTGGAACTACAAAAGACCCTGAATATTTAACCTAAGTAATCTTGAAAAAGAACAGATAGAAGCATCACAATTCCTGATGTCAAGCTTTATTACAAAGCTATAGTAATCAAGACAGTATCGTACTAGCATAAAAATAGACACATAAACCAATGGTACAGACTTGAGAGCCCAGAAATAAACCGACACTTAACACAGTCAACTAAGATTTGTCAAGGGAACCAAGAATACTCTTTGGTAAAAGGAGAGGTTTTTTTCAATAAATGGGAAACTATAACCACATGCAGAGGAATTAAATTGGACTGCTGTCTTACACCAAAAATTAACTTGAAAAAGATCAAAGCTTTAAATTTGAGACTCAAAACTACTAGAAGAAAACATAGGGAAAAAGCTCCTTGACACTGGCCTTGGCAACAATTTTTTGGATATGACCCCAAGCACAAGCAACAAAAACAAAAATCAACAAGTGAAACTACATCAAACTAGAAAATTCTGCACAGCAAAGGAAACCATCAACAAAATGAAAAGGGAGCCTACCAAATAGGAGAAAATATTTGTAAACCATCTATCTGACAAGGAGTTAATATCCAAAGTATATAAAAAACTCATACAACAGAAAAAAAAAATTTGACTTAAAAAGGGGCAAAGGACTTGAATAGACATTTTTCCAAAGAAGGCATACAGATAGCCAACAGGTACATGAAAAGGTGCTCAACATCACTAATTGTCAGGAAAATAAATGTTCAAAAACATGAGATACCACCTAACACCTGTTAGAATGCCTATCCTCAAAAAGACAAATAACAAGTGTTGGCAAGGATGTGGAATAAAGGGAATCCTTGTGATCTGCTGGTAGGAATTGGTGCAGCTACTATGGAAAACAGTATGAAGTACCTCAAAAAATTGAAAATACAACCACATGATCCGGCATTCCACTTCTAGGCATATAGCCCAAGGAAATGGAGCTGTTCTCTCAGATACCTGCAGCCCCCGTGTTCACTGCAGCAGTAGTCAAAATAGCCAACACAGGGAAGCAGCCTAAGTGTCCATCAATGGAGAAATGGATAAAGAAGATGTGGGACATACAAACACAAAATGGGATATTATTCAACTATTAAAAAAAAAAAACCCACACAAGAAAGTTCTGCCTTTTACAAGATGGATAGACCTTAAGGGTGTTATGCTATGTGAAATAAATCCAAGAAAGACAAATACTGTACAGGCACACCTCGTGGTGTTGTGCTTTGCAGATACTGCATTTTTTACAAGCCACAGGTTCAAGACTTGAGGGGAGGAAGTGACTGCAGATGTGGGGGAAACAGCAAGAGAACTAGAATTAGGAGTGGAGCCTGGAGATGGGACTGGACTGATGCGATCTCATGATCAGACTTGAACAGGTGAGGAGCTGCTTCTATGCATGAGCGAAGAAATGGAGTCTTGAAAAGGAGTCTACTCCCAGTGAGGATGCTGGGAAGACTGTTGAAAGGACAACAGAGGATTTAGAATATTACAGAAACTCAGTTGATAAAGCAGCAGGAAGGTGTGAGAGGATGGACTCCAATTTTGAAAGAAATTCTGTGGGTAAAATGCAAGCAGCATGTGATGCTATAGAGGAGTCATGAAAGGAAGCATGTTGTTTTATTTTGAGAAATTGCCACAGCCACCCCAGCCTTCAACACCCTCACCCTAATCCATCAGCAGCTGTCAGTGCCAAGACAAGACCCTCCACCAGCAGAAAGATTACAACTTGCTGAAAGCTCAGATGGTAGCATTTTTTATCAATGAAGTACTTTTAAATTAAGGTATGTATTTTTTAGACATACTGCTGTTGTAGACTTCATAGACTACACTACAAACATAACTTTGATAGGCACTGGGAAACCAAAACACTAATTTGACTCTCTTTATTGCCACATTCACTTTATTGCAGTGGTCTGGAACCAAACCTGCAGTATCTCCAAGGTACTCCTGTCTGTTCTCACTCACATGTGGAATCTAAAAAATGCAAACTCAGAGAGTAGAATAGTGTTTGCCAGAGGCTGGGGGGTGGGGCAATGGGGCGATGTTGGTCCAAGGGTACAAACTTCAGCAAAAAGATGAGTAACTTCTGTGGCTCTAGGCCATGGACAGCATGGTGACTATGTGATTAACAATACAGTAGCTTCTACTGTATTGAAAGTTAGAAGAGTGGATCACCACAAAAGTTATCATCATGAAAATGGTAATTATGTGAGGGGATGGAGCTGTCAACCAACCTAGTAGTAATCATTTCTCAAAAGGTACATGTATCAAACCACCACGCTGTACAGCTTAAACTTACACATTATCTAGGTCAATAATACCAGTAAAGCTAGTGAAACAAATTATTTTACATCTATTAAACTGAAGCATTTTTGGAGTTACAGTACCACAGGTCTTCAAAAGTGTTTTGCCCACCTCTTGTCATTAGGCACGCAGACTTGCTTCTCATTTCTCTTATGTTGTTATGTGAGACCACTGCAGGAAATGGAGGTGTGTAGCCTGTGCACAATAATTCTTGTGGTGGCAGGATTTATCCCTTACTCTTCGCTACGACAAACCACAATAATAATTCCTAACTTTCCTGACGTCCAACTAGGAAATCAATCACAAATAAAAGTAACTTTATTTTGAATATACGAATTTTGAATTACTAAAAGCATTATCAACTAAAAGTTTGCTGACATGTTAGAGATTATCTAATTTTTAATCTAGTAACTAGTTGCAGTGTACACAGTATTTTTGACATAAAATAAAGTCTCTTCCAATCATCAGTAAGCCTTTCCAATCCTCAGTGAGCATGTATTAGGCACCTATTATAATCTGTGCATTGTGCTCTCTTGAATATAGCTCACAGAGTAACAGACAAAACATAAGTTTCTCCTAATTTCTCATAAATATGGAGGAACAAATTTCAAAGATTGTGTGTGTGTGTAAAATGGAATATTATCCAACCATAAAAAGGAAGTTCTGACAAATGCTACAACATGATGAATCTTGAAAACATGCTGAGTAAAATAAACCAGACAAAAGACTCACTTTTGTATGATCTCATGTGTATGAATGTCCAGAATGGACAGATTCATTGAGGCCACACAGAGGTGGTGAGGGGCTGAAGGGAGTGAGAGGTAGGGAGCTGTTGTTTAACAGCACAGACTTCCTGTGGGGAAGATAAGAAAGCCCCAGGACTTGCTGGTGGTGACGGTCACATACCATGAGTATACTTAATACCACTGAATCATGCAATTAAAAATAGGTTAAAAGGTCATTTTTAAGTTACATAAATTTTACCAGAATGAACATATTTTAATTCTAGGTTTTTTACAAGAAATTGACAAACTAACCCCAAAATTTATTTCTAGAACTACAAAGTAACTACAATAAAACCCAAAGCAATCTTGAGAACACTGAGCAAGTTGGAGAAACTTTAACTTCCTCGAAGGCTGAGGGGAAAGCTGGGGTAATACAGCTAACAAGGACTGGTAAGTCCATGGAAGACAGCAGAGAGCTCGGAAATACCGACACACGGTGGCTACATTTTCAACAAAGACCTCAAAGTAATTCAATGGAGAAAATAAAGTCTGTAACAAATGGTGTTAGAATTCATAACAGAAAATAAGAAAGAGAACCTTGACCACTGCACTCCATGCCACCAAATT